TTTAGTATATTACTTGTGTGGTGTAGAAGAGAATTATTTACTGCTTGCAAACCAATGATGGTAAGATGATGTCATGGGGTAGGACTGGATAAGTCTGACTTCTTCCTACTCCATTCAAGCATGTACTAGGTATAAGCAAATTGATATTGGATTAGTATTTGTTGGATATGTGTAAAATTATGTGTGTTGACATATCAACTGTCTTTACATGCTTGAAAGAATAAATCAAATCAAAACTGTATGTGGTCGTGTGGGGGAAGACGCAGCGACCACTGGTTGGATTCACCGACCTTGGAGCTACTTGAAAAAGCTCAATGTTTCCACTACTCAGTGGGACTTAACGGTTAGTTTAAAAAGAAAAAAGAAAAACACACATTGCATGTCTGTTAATGCCTTGTTTCTGTAACCTTAGAGAGAATTGTTGTAAGGCTGGAGAAGTTGCTATGTCTGCATTACGCCAGTTAAAATATGGGGTTTCTCAATTGCTCACTTTGTTTAGACTGTTACACATCCCTCTTCATCGGTACATATACCATTGTTTACCTACTGTATCTTCGGAGGAGAAATCCAAATTAATTAATGCTGTTGTGGTTTCATTTGCTGTCCACTTTCGACAACACCGACAGCAGGAGTTGTGCGCATTCATGAACTGTCCTCTCATTTTTAGGGAAAGTCTCTCTGGTTTTATTGTTCTGAAATAATTACAGACTACTTGGAGTTATGAGGGGTGCCAAGCTAATCTAGAGGTACCCAAGATTAAACATTACATGGCTGAAAATGAGCAAAATGAGCATGCCACTGTGGTGCACCTAAAGATATGTCACCACATTGTTTTCAGTTAATTTATTATTTCATAATTGACAATTGAATGTACATTTTATTTTGGTACATTTTATTTTGGGTGCCACATTTATATTATATGATGTTTTGTGCCTGCTGTCCTGGATTTGGTGGTTGGAGAACAGAAAAGGGTAAAGCGGAACCTTTGTGCGCTTGGTGTTGCACCCAGAATGGTTTTGGGGAGGGACCTTCTGTCCTCGCCCCCAGATGCAGTCTGGATGCGAATGTCAGCGCACCGTGAGAGTTCTGTTCTGATGTCACATTGT